AGGAAGTGGGGCAAAGGAACCAGTCTGTGGTCTATGGCCCTACCTCCTTGAATGCCCCGATCCTGTCTGATCTCAGAAGCTAAAGCAGGGTTGAATCTGGTTAGGATTAAGTGGGAATAATCAGGCATAAGTGCACAGGTGGAACCCAGCACTGCACTCAGACCTGTTAGCAGGGCTTAGTCACCATGCTTAGCGGCAAGAGAGGCTGAGCCTGGCGGGGAGGTGGGGGATAGGGAGGCTGATGGACAGCAGCTACTGTGCCTCAGAGGTGAAGGTCAGTGGGAGTCTGGGAGTAGCTGCTGTTTTGCATGACCTAAACTCTGATTATTTAGAATTGATAGTGACTTTCCATAAGAAGCACATTTCTGATGTAAAATAATGCCATACACAGAACACAAAGGATACTCATTTTAGAAGCAAATTTAGGTTTTTATTGTCTCTAGCCTAATTGCTACTAAAATTACTTTTATTTTCTCTTTATTTAAGGGCTATTCAGAAGCCATTCAAAAATATATAAGCTAAGGCTATCTTAAGCCATTAAAATTCCTACTTACTAAAGTAATTGTTTTCTATTGGTACCTTGATGTTCTCCAATGTGTTTGCACTTCTGTAATTAGGAGCATACTTTATATTCTTAGCCATTCGGAGTCAAGGTGTTTATGTGGCTCATTTGCATATTCATGTTTGTCTCTGTTTCACAACTGTGTAGACTAAAACAGAACTAGATTCTTCTGTAAGATACCCTTGCTATCTGCTCCTTCATCAGCGTCCTGACTCCCTTGCCTAAGTGATAACTGTCCTTTCTATCATTCCTGCAGATAAAAAACAATCATTTGAATCAAGCAATTCACGAGGAGCGAGAGGCCATCATTGAGCTGCGGGTGCAGCTCCGACTGCTCCAGATGCAGCGAGCCAAGTCTGAGCTGCAGGTGCAGGAAGACGAAGAGCCTGAGTGGCGTGGGGGCGCGGGCCAGCCGCCTAGGGACAGCGTCCTCGAGACAAAAGCAGCTAAAGAGCAGCCAAAGGCAGGCAAAGAGCCAGCAAAGCCTTCGCCAAGCAAAGACAGGAAGGAGACGCCCATCTGAGCGGCCTGGCGGGTAGTCATGGAATCCTCGAGACTTAAAAGGACCTGTGCATCTTACTGTAACACTGAGAGTCGAGGCACGGCTCTCCCGCTGTACATTCTGTAAAGATGTCTTCTCTTCTCAGAGACTCTTCCTCTTTCACACGTCTGACTTCTCCACGTCAGGCTCAGGTTCCAGGAGGACAAAGCAATGGACACATGTGGGCTTGTAGGGAACAGATGAGTTTTCCAGATAGTGTCAGCTTATTTGAAGATTAATTTTCTTTGTTAACTTAAAATAACTATTTTAACCCTTGAGTGGCTTCTTTTTAAACCAAAAATCGTCTTTCTTTGCATTTTTATCACAGCAGAATCAGGATCTCTTTCTCATTCAAGTGGGGGAGGGGAGAAGCAAACCAGGTCAATGCTGCACCTGCCAGTGGACGCCCCGTGTCTCGCCCTCCAGGATCTCTGCGTACCTAGTCACTCTTGCTTGTGCCTTTCACACCTTTTCGGTGCAGATTATACCATGGGGGAGCTGCCTCGTATGTTCTGACTGGCCGGAACGGCTCGTACTGGGTGAGCCCTTTACCCACTCTTGGATCTCTCCTTTTGCAGTTCCAGACCACAGTCCGGATGGCCTGCTCGGTCAGACAGAGGCTGCCTGTGGAGGCCCCCTGCCAGTCGTGGGCAGTGCAGGCCCCGGCTGGAGGAGGCCACCCTGCTCCTGCCCAACACTCACTGCCAGTGATCAGCAAAGGCCTTTTCACTGGGTTGGTTGAAGGTAGCTGCCTTGGCCTGATGCATCCACACGAAGGATGTTTCTCAAGCAGAAATCTTTTACCTGACTGACCTTCCATTAAAAACAGAATGACTTCGATTGCTTGCTTGGGCTAGAATGTACATGTCTCTTTGCCTGAATAAGCCATAATATGCTCTTACACAGAAGTTTTAAGTGATCCATATCGTCTCAGTGAAGCTACTGAATGGACTCCCAGTTGACGAGATTGAGCAATAGAAAAAAGTGACTTGCCCTTTAATGATAGGTGTGATTCACCCCACCCTGTTTTCTCATTTCCTGTTGGTCAGATCAGATGGTTGCACTGTGGCTTCTGGGAGGCCAGGCTCACAAGTAGCTTGGGTCAGCCACATTGTCAGAACAAATGGCACCCTTGAGACAGGTCAGAGTACATGGCTCTGAAGACAAACCCCACACACTCAACTGATGACAACTCCCACACGAGGGCTCTCTCCTCCTCCTCCTAGTTAGTATTTATTTTCAGCACCTGTTTGATGCGGTTTTTTATCCTCTACCTATTGCACTGTTGTGACTTGTTGGCCATTATTTGATTTTTGTACGAAAAAAAGCTTTGTTATAGAAATCAGCATACTATTTTTTTAAATCTGGAGAGAAGATATTATGGTGACTGAAAATATGGTCAGGTGTCAAATATAAATGTGTAAACGCCTTCTTGCTGTCCTGTCAGTCATATTATGTTCATTTTATATTTGCTGGCAATATTGGAAGGTTTCTTTTTTTGTGTGTAAACTCTAATTTCTATTAAGGTGTCATGGATTTTTAAAATTAGTATTTCATTACAAATGTCTCAGTGTTGGTTATGATTTTTGCCAGGACCATTATTGATCAAGCAAATAAATTCAACAGCCATTTGGGAAAAAAGAAATGCTTCTAGTTTTTTCTTACACGTTCTGTGAAGTACCTGAGTATCCTGTGGCTAGTAAGGCATTGGTTTAGGTACTTCTTCAAGGCCAGGAGTAAACAAAACGTTGGGTTTTCAGTTCACTTGGTTCTTGCCTAAAACCACTCCAGGTCCTCCATGCTTCTGCCAGTAGCTCTTTCCCAGCCCTCCTGAGACTCAGCTTGCTGCCGCATGAGCATGTTTGCAGCGGGGACTAGGCCTGCGGTTGATGTGCCAGCAGCTTCCTGGTTGCCCTGAAAGGCGAGCTTTGCCCTCAGAGCCCTGCACATGTCAGCCTGGCCCAGCACAAGCCAACCGTTACTAGTATGTCTGGGATAGATGGGGCTACAATGACTACAATATGAGAACTTTTCATTTGCTTTATTTTTTTTAATTTTATTTATTCATTTATTTTGACCAGAGAGAGAGAGAGAGAGAGAGAGAGAGAGAGGGAAAGTGAGAAAGCAAGCCACCAGGTCCGGTACTTCAACCGCAGTCGGCCATGTGGGAGTGTCCACGCCACCTGCTGGTCTCTCATTTGCTTCATTTTATTTTTTTTCTTTTGAGAGGTTTTCACTATAGGGCACGTGCGCTCGCCAGACAGAGACATAGAGACAGCAAGAAATCACCCCCAGGGGGGATGGCCACGCCGCAGACCCTTCTCCATTCTCCTCTCGGGATCTTGGGCACACAGGCACATGCGCCCAGCAAGTTCTAAGCCACCGGGTCCGGGACGCGAACTGCGGTCGACTACGTGGGAATCCAGTGACATAGCCATTACACTATCTGCTGGTTCCCCCTCATTTGCTTTATTTAAAAATATCCATAATTACAGTTTTTATCACACTGACAGATTTAACAGCTGGCGTCTCTATTTTGAATGAAGTTAAATTCTATAAAATTAAATTTTTGTTGTTTTTGGCTCATGGAACATTTCAGACACTGCTGCGGCTACGTTTAGTGTTGGGGCTCTGGAGATGAGATGTGAGAGCTGGGATCACTCCCAAGAGAACACCTAGTGCTTCCATGTTGCTCTGTTCCCTGAAGCTATTTGTGTTAAAAATAAAAAATCACTATCTTTATTGAGTCAGCATGTTAAATACTATACCTTAAAAGCAAATATGCCTTTTGAGCCCGGGCAGGCTGACCAAGATGCAGTTTTCTGGAACTTTCCACCAGGGCACTTCTGATTCCATCTCTGTAGTCTCAACCTGGGCATGGTTAGGGGACCTAGCCCCCTATTTTAATTTGAGGTACAAAGGGAAGAGCTTGAGTCAGGCGAAGATGTCATAAGATGAGGCAATTGAAGGCAAGGCATTGTCTCCAGAAATACGATTAGAAAACTTTTCTAGACTAGAACTCAGGAAGCTGGGAAGCAGGAAATGCGAAGCTGGGGAAAAGGGCAGAGAATTCTTAAATACCTCTTCCAGGGGCGCCGGCAGAGCTCTAAATGCTGCGGTCAGCATCCGTGGCCTCCCAGGTCTGCAAGATGCCGCTGGCTCTCTGCGGTCTTGTGACCTTGCTGCCACTAGACTAGCGTGGCTCAGGAGCTCAGCATAAAAGAACTAGTTTTGTTTGCTGTGAGCTCTAGTTTGTTTTCTGGCCTAGTCTTCACTTCTCAGGCTGTAAGCCCCAGGTCAGTGTCTCCATGATGACTCCACTTCCTTCGCCCAGCAGATCTCAGGCCCCCATCCTCTGCTCCCAGAGTGCCTATTCAGGTGACGAGCTCGGTACTCTGCTCTTGGCACCGTACTTAGCTGGCCACTGGGCTCCTAGAGAAAGGCTGGGAGAAGGGGCTTTTGACAAGAAAACCTGAACCCATATCCCATTTCTTCGTAACCTTCAACAAGCTGTTTAATCTTGTCGAACTTCACTTTTCTCATTGGCAAAATAGTGAAATGAATCCTGACTTCAACAGGCTGTCCAGGGGCTAGCCCCTCTGGCCCCTGCGCCCTCTAGTTAGGAAAAGCCAGAACCTCTTCCTCAGGAGGGTGTCTCTAGCACTGTGAAAAAGGTTGCAGTTTTTTTGAGTTTCTCACAGGACGAAAATAAAATCTCACATGACATCGCTGCTGCTAACAGCTGTTCCAGTGATGGACTGAGGTGAGCACTCTCTAAGCTTGAATCTGTTCACTAGGGCGACCTTACTACAGGCCTGCCGTGTCAAGTACAGAGCACCCCTCACTTGAGAAGTATTTCCTAATCAACTCGTATTTAATTGGGTATCCCGCTTTTTGCTTATTCTGGCTGTCCTGCCGTGGTATCTCAACTAGTAAATGGGCTAACACCAACTACAGAAAGTCACTGTGCCTAAGTGCTATATAATTAAGAGACCACCACTCGGGGGCCGGCAGGTGGCGTGGTGGTTAAGATGTTGAACTCCCACATGGCCAACCGCGGTAGGAGTCCTCAACCTGGTGGCGTGCTCTCTCATTTTCCATTTCCGTCTGTCTATTTCTGGTGATTGAGCGTCCTCTGTAGGAAATTGGGAAATACTAAAATATATATATACGTTGGGTACATACACACACGTGCCCAACATGAATTTAAAGCCACAGGGTCTGGGACTTGAACCCCGACTGGCCACATAGGAATCCAGCAATATAATCACTACAACGCTGCTGGTCCCATAAATAATTAAAAAAAAAGAGACTACACTCAAACCAATTGAGCATAGACACACAGCTGTGAGATGCTGAAGGTGTGAAGCTGTCCAACTACAAGGGGAAGGACAGACTTAGAACTGACAAGGTCTGGCTTCTTACACTGAACTAAAATTGTGGGGACAACTCCCCAACTCCCTAGACAACAGTCTGATCTGATCCTGGGCTGCCGAAGATGGTAACAAGGGGGCTGGTCCAGGTCGGGGGGAAGGCAGCCATCCTGACCGAGCCCCAGTCAGTGTGTCCCAGCAGGGGCTTGTGACAGCCTGTGACTGTTGCACTGCTCCCTCCTTGGGCTCCAACACAACCTGCTGGAGCAATTTGTAGCTGAAGAAATAAAATATAGTTATTAAAGGCTTAACGTAGGAATTTTAAAAATGGAATCCACGAAGCCTTGCCTTTTCACATTTATTTCCAGACTCAGTTTCCTCTCTGGTTTTAGTCAGAGGATTTTTTAAATATATAATTTATTTATTTGACCAGAGATGGAGAGAATGTGAGAAAGGGGGGGAAAGGGAAAGTGAGAAAGCAAGCTGCCAGGTCCAGGACTTGAACCACAGTCAACCATGTGGGAGTCCAGCGCCTTTAACCACCAGGACACCTGCTGACCCTGAGGCAGAGGACTGATTTTAGAGAGACACCAATTGGCTTTATTTTTAGACAGAGATCCTTGTTAAAAGGGCACATGTGTTTGCCAGACACAGAGACAGAGAAATACAAAGTGAGAAATCCCCTTGCCCCCTCAAGGATGGCCACATTTCAATCCTCTCTCCTCCATTCTCTTGGGATTGGGGTATGCACCGCACATGCCCCCAGTGTGAGTTTCAAGCCACTGGATCCAGGGCTTGAACTCTGGTCAGCCATGTGGGAGCCTAGTGCCTTAACCACTACCCTACCTGCCTGCCCCTCCTTAGCTTTAAACCTGAGCTGGCCTTTCCCTGCCCTGCCCCACTGCTTCTCAGCCTCCTCCTGGAACCTTGCACAGACCCATTACCACGCCTGTGTTCAGTGCCTGAGGCGCCACTTTTCTCCACACTTGGGGACTAGTTTAGAGCCTGCTCTCATCACTCCCCCCACCCCAACTCCCTGCGCTGCCCGACCCTCACAACAGACCTCCCCCGACCCAACATAAGGTAGGACCTGCACCAACCTGGAATGAGAAGGCCAGTGCCATGTGTGCCCCCAGCCACGCCCAGCATGCTCCCGAGGCTGGCTTTCCTCGGTAAGAGGACTCTTCCGGTATGGCACTGAGGACCCAGGAACTCCACACTCGCCCATCTGGAGCCTGGCATGACACGAATCTCTCCGAGACTTTGGGACAGGGTCACATGGAAAGGGGTAGCTACTCCCTATAGGGCCAGCCCTCCAAACAGGATGCCTGCTTCTTGAGCTGGTGTGGCTGGCGAGGGACACGCAAAGCACCGCCGTGCAAACACAGTCCCTCCAGAGGGTAGAGGTAGCAGAGATCACTGAGTGTCACTGCCTAGGTTCCCGCCAGGTTGGCAGGGAAGGGGGTACCCCATGTCAAGAGCAACCCTGCCTCAGGAAGGGACAGGCAGAGGCTTGCAGAGAAGGAACCCCTGCCACGACCAAGCGTATTAGGTAGTCTGTTTTGAAAAATGGAACTTTCCTCTTCATCCTGAGTCACTCAAAAGTTTTAAGACTTGTCTTGAAATCAAAAGTTCATGGACTAAACTGGTTTGCTATTTTTTAATTTTAATTTTGCCAGAGGGCACATCAGAGAAAGTAAGAAAGCATGGAGGATGAACATCCTTCCCTATTTTTCCTTCCTCTTGGGATTTTAGGCACCCACGCACACACACCTGGCTTATTTCCCAAGCTATTGGGTCTGGGTCTCAAACTGTGCAGTAGGCCACACGGGATCCAGCAGCCTTAACTATCACCAGAACGGGAGGGGGAGGGGAAGCACTGCTCAGTGTGTGTGTTCACGCGCACGTGCGCACGGGGGAGCGAGTTGAATAGTCACACAGGGTCTATTTCTCCATCCCGACAGGATCTTTGGTACACACACACACACACACACACGTGCTCAGTATGTTATTCAAGCCACCGAAGCCAGAATTTGAACTGCCGTTGGCCATGTGGGAACCAGCTCCTTCAACACAGGGCTTACACACCGTGCCTCAGGGCTAGCTCTTGCTTTTTCATTTTTACCTACTGTGAGATTTGGAAGAATTATGAAATACATCTAAAAACAATTTTTTTAGACTTTTGCCATAGGGGTGTGCACTTGCTGGAGACAGAGAAGGAAAGTAAGTAATCACCATCCAAAAGGAATGGTCACGCCAAAATCCCTT